TGGCCATTGATGTTTACAAATGGGTCCCGGTCCAAAATAGGTTGAGAACCACTGCCTTTGAGGGCACTTAGCCAACTACCTAGCATCTGAGTGGCCCCGTCGCTGCCCTCTCTCAGGGACACCCCCAGAGAGACATGCTGGAGGGATGGATGGGCAGTTGAATGTGTACCTGTCCTGCCTGCCCATGCCAGACACCCATCTTGACAGCAAGTCCCACTAGGAAAGAGCCCACAGGAGGGCTACGCCTTATGCCCTTGCTTCCCTCCTCAGGTGCTTTCTACATGAGAAGCCCCTGCCAGGCTTAGTTCAGCCAAAGCACTTGGATGGATGCGTGCAGCCCCGGGGGAGTGTGTGGGCCTCCTTGGAGTCTGTGCTCTTCTGAAGGGATCCAACAGGGAGTGAAAGGAAAAGAGGGGCCTTGTGCCAGCTCCCCTCACACGCAGATAGCCAGAGCTCGCCTGAGGAAGAAGGAAAGACTAGCAATGAGGGCGCTAGGCTGACGTGCCAGCCGCCTCGGCCCGGACTCCTGAGCTGCCCCAGGTGTCCTGCGCGACCCCTCTGCCTGCACCTCAGCGTGTGGAGATGGTAGGACTTCCTCTCAGAGGTAAGTAAATTACAGGCTTCCCTCACGTTATGCAGGTTCTGCATGGGCGAATTCGCCCTTGCGCGATGACCTTTTTTATACCAACAATTCGTTATGCGTGAGGTAAATTCGCCCTCCTGCAATGGGTGTGGTGGAGGACCGCGGTCGGCTGCTCTGTGCGGTGTGTTGTGGGAGTGACGGGCACCTAAATAGTCTCCTGCATGGATCCGTGCTCCTCGCTCGCTGCCCGCGAGACATGTTTCTGTAGTCGCCATCCCCATGATGGCAGTGCCCTGTGCTGGCATGCATGGTTTGCTGTTGGTGAGCACCACAATTGTCTGGTACAAGTGGCAGAAATGGGGCTGGGGGTCAGTACAGTCGGGGTCTTGGAGTGTATCCCTATTTGTTACATTGTAAAGTGGGTTCCCTCGACACGAGTTCGAGTTCTGCGCCGTTTTGCAGGAACGCGCGTGCCGCACAAAGCGAGGGGAAACAACTGCAAGATGCTCTGATACCATGGTTATGAGGGCACAGAGACACCTCAGGTGGATGGACTGTTTTTGTAATAATAATCACAGGGCAATGCATAGTCCTTATCCAGCTCTCGATCTTTAAAGCGTTGACCAAAACATCACGTAATTGCTCTGCAGTAGGTACCTTTGTGTTGGTGATGTGGAACCTGAGACAGAGATGAACTAAATGGCTTTAAAAGGCACCATGGATTTGGGGTGCCTGTTTTAAGACCCCTCTACAGAAATGCTGAGCACCTGCAAAGCCGCATGCGTGACTTCAGGAGAAGCTGTGGACATTTGGCGTTGCTTTAACGCGGGCCCAGCTAGCTCTAGGCTACGTTCCTGCAACGACCGGTCATTCTGGAAAATGTAGATCGAAGTACATTCCCCAAAAGCAGACAGGGTCTTTGATGAGACCTGGGATTTTTCTCTCATGAGTTTCTGACTCCAAATGCTGTCCCCAGTCCCTAGTAAATGGGCATTTACTCGTCCCTTGTAAATGCCCTCTCCTCACATAAAGTACTACAGGCCTTCAGTGAACTCAGACTTTTATGTACAGAAATAGATTATTTGGGATGTAGTAAGTAGTTAAGCAGAATTCCCAACAGCTATTACACAAATATGCTCCTTAAACACGCGAAGGAAAATGCTGTAGTTCCTTTCATGCAGCCAAACCATATGACTTCATGGATTATGCTTCAGTAGAAGAACTGGTTTATGTGTTTTCAGTATTTTGGCTTTCCCTGCCCACTCATTTTGTTTAATATGACATGTTAACAGTGAAGACTGAATGGCGATAGACATCTTCCAGCCAGTGTCACAACAGGGAAAAAGCACAGTTCCATAAATGAGGATACTGATAGCATTGTATATATGAACACCCAATTATAATTGTCAAAAGTGATGCCACCCCCAGTCACCCAGCCATGTTAGTTATAAGACTATCAGCAAATTTTGCTCAACTACCCCTAACCATTTATATGAGCAATGTGGAGCCATGAGCATATATGCATTTCCAAGTCATTTCCCTCTGGAATAATAAAATAATAATAATGTTCTTTGTGAATGCTGGATAAGAAAACTATACACAATATATTACAGGTTTGATTTTCATGACAGGTGGGGATTTCCAACAGGAAATAATTTTGAAAAGATTTTTAAACACAGCAGGATAAAAATGCATTCCTCTTTTTCATTTTTTTTTTAAATATTAGTATTAAGCACGTTTTACTAGTGGTTTGCATTATAGCCTTGCAGTTGAATACATCCATATTGGTTAGCATATTAGTCAGCAGAACTGTTGTTGGGTGCACAAAGTGAAATAATAAAACATGTGACATTCCTGATACTGCTATTTATATATGGGTGTAACTTGCTCATCTACTATTAAGAGGGGTTGCATGGGACAGTGCTAGAGTCAACATGCTGGTAAGGTGAATCAAAGAGTAACTCTGGAGTGAAAGTTCCCTGAACATAACTAGTGGTTCCTGAAACACTGTTCTGTTGTAGAATCAAAGTTAAATCAGGTAAATCAAGGGAAGAGGTGCATTGTTTTAAAAGCACGTTAAAGCAACTTTGGTCTTCTTCCACTGAGCTTGAACAAGTTTTCCTTGCTGAAATGCTACAGTTTTGAGTGGACATTAAAATTCCAACTGCGCTTTTACCAAAAGCAGGAATTTTCTTAGTTGGGTTTTTTTTACACCTTTTTATTTCTCCCACTGAGAGCCATATGTCAGTTGTAGTTTATGTAGAGAATATATTTTCTAAAACACTCTGTGAGTATCTGTGGCCGGTATCTGAAGGTCTTGACAAGAGAAAGATGCCCATTGACTCCAAATACAATTTTCCTCTTGTAATGCACAAAATATGAGTTTTGTTACTCACAGAAGAGCAACAGAAGGTAGTTAAATATCTTTTCTTTTGTTCATGTTGCATTCAAAACTCAATGGCAACAACTGACAAGAGTAAAATTTAGATTTCGTATTTTTTAATTTAAAATTTAAACTCGTATTTTTAAATTTAAAATTGTAATGTTTGATGCCCAAACATTTTTGCCCATGACATATGTGAGTTATTCTATAAGGATAATGCCTTGCTCTCATATACAGCATTTTTATTGGTAGATCTCAAAGTGATTTACAAAGGAAATCAGTATTATGGATGCATGAAGCACTGAGATTGTGTACCTTGTACGTCCAGAGTTTGAAAGAATGCTGCCCACCCAAAATGGCCTTTGTTCACTGTAGTCTGGAAGCTGCCTTTAGGAAGTTAAGAACTTAAACAAACAGTGAGGCATACTAGTATCTACGGAAGACTGAAGTTTTGCAGCCTTTCAAGTGCTGTAGCATGCAAGAATCTCATCACTTGTTTTATTTTCCCCCAATTATATATTCAAAAACGAAAAGCATAATGAAAATGAACCTATGAGCCATTAGAACTGCTCATTACAAGAGACAGCACTGAGAACAGAAAATAGCAAAATGGATATGCTATTAGAATTATTTTAAAGCTGCAACAGAAACTACTGAAATTGGCATTTAGCCCTTCCTGCAACAGCCATTGTAATGGGAGTATAAGCACTTACACAATTAGCCTATCTCATTCACAAGGCATGAAATTGTACCCTCACCCCTGGAAGATACTATGGAGGTCAGGACAACCTCCACCAAGCCATGCCTGTCCTTGGCTATACACTTGCAGACTGCTGCTTGAGCAATTCCTGTTGTCCCGGGAGTCTCTCAAGCATATAAGTGGAGATTAAATGAGCGGCTGATTTTTAGATAGTATCTTGGCAAGTTGCTGACCCTGCGGCAGTTCATTCAGGATTTAGGTGTCTGCAAAGTGGTTTAAGCATCACCCATGTGTTTTTATTGACTGCTTCTAGTATAATACCACTATAGCATCTTTATCTGATACCAGGGAATCAAGGCATACCTAGGAAATAAACCTCAGCCCAAACTCCATGCATCTCTTTCAGAGCTTACTTGTTACCCTAGGATCTTTTGCAGAACCTACAGCAGTGAGTGAGGAGTTTATAAAGACAACTGGAAAGGCACCAAGAGTGAAGTTGGAGCATTGCTGTTCATAGTATTTCCCCCCAAGATGTTCCAACATCCCCTTTTACTCTTGCCTTTTATTCTTGGGCTAGTAACTG